GAGATTTATACGCACACTTAACTGGGGGAAAGGTTTATACTTGCTACTGGATCTGGGTCAACATTTAACTTCTCATCTGAAAACACTATAAATTAACTATTTTAAGCTGCGAAACCAAGTTTGTAGTAACAGACCCAGCAATTAATCACCTAGCGTTTGTTAAAAAAAAAAAAAAAAAATGATGTATTACAGCTCCACCAGGTGGCTGCCAACAGTGTGAATGAGACAGGCTGACATCCACCAGGAGGAGGGAGAAGCTGCTCTTGATTTTATTTGTGCATCATTTTGACTACATCAAATTCAGTTTAGTGAAGGGCAAAGAAAAGAGACCATTGCAGATTTTTCTAGGAATTTTGTCTGGCAACCCCCTCACCCCTGCCACACACACACACGATCATTATACATTATGACTCACTTTTGACATGTGAATACCCAAAACCCATGGACAGTTTTCTGATGGGTAATTGTGCTGCAGGCTCATGAATTATGGTGCCCTCATTCTGACTATTTTTGGTTTTCATAAAAGGGTAAAGGGTACTGTAGGCCCATAGGTTAGTTTTGGCTTGTGACCATTAGACACTTGAGTTTGATCTGGCTCAGATGCTGTATATCATAACGTGTAATGCTTCATAGTATAGTAAGAATGCTGGTGACCTGAATTCCGTTTTAGGCTGTGCTCCTTTTAGGTATGTGGCGTCTTTTTTCTGGTTCTCAGTTTTATCATCTGTGAAATGAGCGAATTATACTGGCTGATCTCCAGAAACTCTTAGCCATATTCATAAGCATTTGAGTCATTTTTGTTTTAATTTGGAAAAGAATAAACTTGTTAAACATTTGAAATCAAACAGAAAAGAGGAAGAAAAGCTAAATTAGTATAGACATTTACATTTTTAAAATTAAACTACATTGTATTTATGATAAAAACTAGAATGAGACCGTCTTCACTATTCTCTCTCAAGTTGTAATATGGCACTGAAGTGATAAAGTCAATAGCAGCCTTGCTGAAAGTATATAATTAGACAAAATGTTAAAAATAAGTAAATTGAGTTATCAAATCGTTTTAGGCAGCACAAAGAATAAAAAAAAAAATGCAGCTACTAAAACATTGAAAGGTGAAATTCATTGTCCCAATTTATTGGTTCTGTTGTCATCTAGGTTAGGGAAAAGAGAAATAGCTTCTTTCTATGTGTTAAGTCAATATCTTAATCATTTGAAAATCAAAGGTATTATAAAATTGAAATTTTAAGTGCTCTGAGTAACACTCATTGGTTTGTTTGTATTCTAAACATTGATTAATAAAATGAGCTATCCTTAATAGAGCCAAGTTGCTGTTAGTTAAGTATATGACATTTTAATTGATTTTATTTTTAATATTAGTTGAAGGCACTGTCTTGAAAAAAAAACATAACCCAAATTTTATTTCAGTTTTTAGGAATACAACCCATTTAGGAAATACCAAGAACAGATTGTGGACTGGGAGGAGAACCAGCCCCATGTTCCTTGTACTTTCCCCATTAACAAATGATTTCATTATTTTGCTCTTTCTGCTTCCCCCTTAAAAAAAAAGTCTTTTTTTTTTTTTTTTTTTTTTTTTAATTTTAAAAAATTACCCATGAATGAAGACGGATCCATATGGTGGTTCCTCCTACCCTTTCAAAGTAATCAGTTTATACATTTTTTGCTACTCTCCTTGGTTTAGTTTGTCTTCTTCCATATGTGCTTTTATTGGCATATTGCTGTGCCACCTGCTTAGAGTTTGGAGTATTAGCTTTGAATGCAATATAGACTTTGATCTAGGAGTTTTTTTCCTGTGAGACATTTAGATGAAAACAGTCTTTGATTTTAATAACTTATGTGTTCTTCCTGCTTATTTCCTACCTGAACTTGTCATGAGACTCCATGAGGGACATTGCAGCTGGTTGCTATGAAATTGATTGATAATTAAGATTATGATTTTAGGTAGAAATTAAGCAGAACTGCATTTTTAAAGAAACTGGGTAAACTGAGATTTTCAGTATTGGCACAGACCTGTTAAGAATAATAATTCTGATTTCGGTGAAAATTTTTTAGAAGCTTCAGAGTCTGCCTCAAGTAAAGTCTTAAATTTATTTTAAATTTAATTTTTTTATTTAAGAAGTTTCATTTTCATTTCCTCCTAATAACAACATGATGAAAGTTTACCAGTGAAAAGAATGCATGTACACACATCCATGCTTTATATATTATTAATTATTCCTAGCAGTTGTTTGGACTACATGATTTCCCCATATCTTTTTGTCGAGCAAAAAACTATGGCAATGTTCCAAATACATAATCTCAGCTCTGGAATTTAAAATTTAATTTCTACTTTTCACTGGTCTTCTATTTGTGAGTTTGAGAAATATTTTACATATTCATCATATTAGGCATTGAAAAGGAGTTTGTGGCCATTTTGCTGTACATTTTTTATAATAACCCAATTAGTGGCATGTCATTTTACTCCTCTAAGTTCATTTTCCACATCTGTATAAAATGGAGGTTGTGGGTATGGGCATGAGAGACGGGAGTGTAGTTTAGAACACTTTCTAATGTCTCTTCCAGTTCTAAACATTTTATGACATTATGGAGGCAGAATGCTTCGTTGGTTCCATGACTACATATATTTTTGTTTATCATTAACCTAGCTTTTCCTGTGAGAATTTCATTAGTCATATCATGCTGCACATGGATTTCTGAAAGATTTCGTTGTATTTTAAATCATTTAATTTGCTTGGCTATTATGCATTTAAAATTTCCCAGAAATATCTTTGTCAAAGAAGAATTTGAGTTGGCTTTCAGAAAATCTGAACAAGGCTGATTATAAATGGAATTGGGGTCATTTATCAGTATACATTCTTTTTATTTTATTAGTTGAATTAATGTGTAAGCTTTTGCAGCAAGGAATATGTGTAGCTCTTCATTTTATTAATGGGTTAGCCTTAATGCTACCTTCCTTTTAGCACTCAATAAATACAAAATAGTTACAAATTCTTTAGGATTCTTATAATCTTCCATCTTCATGAAGTACATAAGCAATAAAATAAATAACAGCTGTCATCATTTCTCTTCTACTCACTTTTATCTGGGCATTTGGTTAGATGACTATTTGTTCTTTACTACTGTCTAATCTAGTCAGACTACTTTTTGTGTTCTTAAGGAAAAAAAGCCAGTGAGTTAAATTATGTCACTGTTACTTTTACAATCAAATGACCAGAGAAGAAAATACTCTAATAAATGTGAGATCCTTTGAAATCCTTGCATGAAGGGAATCAGCTGACTTACCATATTAATCTAGTATCTTATTGAGAAAATTGACCAATGTATATTGGTTTTGCACTTTCCATGGTAATATTGTGTCATTTATTAAGATATCCTTGGAACAGAAGATCTTATTGTGGAAGCGACATCCACTGATGCTGTGAGATTTTATCCTTGGACCATTGATAATAAATACTATTCGGCGGATATCAATCTGTGCGTAGTGCCAAACAAGTTTCTCATCACTGCAGAGATCGCAGAGTCTGTCCAAGCATTTGTGGTTTACTTTGACAGCACACAAGTAAGATTTTGTTTTTCATGGAATCTTGAATAAGAAATTATCTTGTGCTTTCTTTCCCCGCCCCACCCCCTGCCTTTTCTATGTGTTCTCCTAATGTATCTTTTTCTATTTTTGTTTGTTTATTTTCCCTCCCTCTAGAAATCTGGTCTTGATAGTGTCTCCACGTGGCTTCCACTGGTAGAAGGATGGTTACCTGAGGTGATGATCTTGGTCTGTGATAGAGTGTCTGAAAATGGTAAGATACTTTGATGGGACGGTGGTTGGCACATACATTTGCCATTCCTTGATAAACAGAGTACATTAGTTTTCTTAACTTAGAAGAGTACCTCTCATGTTGCTTTATTACTTTACATAAATATTTTCAGCTATTTCTCTTTGGAATCTTGCAACATTTTCTTTTCTTTCTTGACACTTTGGGTTTAGGAAATTATTTTCTTTATATTACTTTATTCTGGATGCCTTTAAATAACATCGACATTAATGGAAACACATTGAGATTTGTGGAGAGTATTGCAGCAATATTCATTTTTGTTTTTTTACTTAGTTTTGTTTTTGCTTTTTTTTTTTTTTGGCATGTTATTTTAGGTGTAAACCGACAAAAAGCTCAAGAATGGTGTATCAAACATGGCTTTGAATTGGTAGAACTTAGTCCGGAAGAGTTGCCTGAGGACGATGGTAAGTGTTGATGTCGGGAGAAAACGTGGCATTTGGATTCAGATATGAGATTATTTGATTCAGGGAAGAAGAGTGAAATTCAAAAAACAATGTTTTTCCCTTAGCCGTTTGAAAAGATTTGTGCGAAACCTATTGATGTGGTCTTAACATTAATCAAATAATCCATTTATATGGTTTCACTACCCATTTTAGGACTTTTGAGATGTTGTTTTTCTTATGGATAAAGTTGGAGGATTTCTACCTTAAATCTGTCATTTCCCCAATCTCTTATCCTTTCTCCATGGCCCAAAATGAACAGTTCTACTTATATTCATAAATAGGTAAAGTGTATGCTCCTTATTTTGAATTCTTAGTAACTTAAGACTGAATTCTCAGAAACCATAGAGGTATGTCAGTTCTATTTGTATGTCTTTTGGACATTTAAAACCAAAAGTAGACCCAGGATGCCCTCTTGGGGTAGCTCTGCACTTAAGTGCCTCTACTACAGTCTGGACCTTCTATTTCTCCCCCTTCTTCCTGTACCCTCTTTCATTTTTCTTTTTCATCTTTATTCCTTCCAAGTTCACCTATGCTAGCTGCTGTGGGATCTACCAAGATAAGACACATTTTGGCCTCCCAAAACCCTATAACCTGGTACAAGAGATAAAACATGAATATAAATAATCGAATTACCAAGTGGGATGTTATAAGTATTATAAAAAAATATATTGGTACTGTGGTACTTCAGAGACAGAAGAGATCATTTCAAAGAAAGAATGGGCACCGTGAACTCTTAAATGTCACCTGTTCCATGGAGAAGAAATTGTAAATGTACTGGAATTGTATTTAGAGGACTAGTAGGCAGGTGGCATTGAGAAGATGCCAGTTTTTCCAAAAGACATTCTAGGCAGGGGCAACCAATACAAGTTAAAGTACATGGATAGGTTATAAGTAATCATTACATGAAAGCTTATTTTAAAAATAAGAAATGTCTTTCTATATTAAGGCTTGTTTAGAATTTTTCCAAAATGTTACCTTTGGGAATAAAACCCTGCCAGAGAAGAGAACAAAAATGAAATAAAAAGGCTGGTTTTTCTCCCTGTACATTTTTAAGGATATTGAAAATTAACAAGCACAATTTCCTCTTCCATGTTTTTCTAGGTCCCCTAAAACTTGCACCCTCTGTTGTGTATGTGAGCCTGAGTGTAATCACTTCTTTCTCTCACTAGAATTTTCTCTTCTTCCTATTGTCCTAGAGAGTCAAAGTTTGAGTCCTTTATTTAAATTTGTTTTCATTTTGGAATTTCTGTTCCTTTATACCCTTACACTTCTTCTTGCTCCTTGTCTGAACATGTTCTCGTATTAATCTTGAGATAGATTTTTGGCATATCATCTTTTGGTAACATAAGTAAAACCTTGTTAGAATTTTTTTAATACAGTTACCAAGCCATATATATTCTCATCCCTTATTTGCATATATTATTTGAACATCAATATGAGACTTTATGCTCGTTGGTATTAAATTTGATCTTATTGTTGGCTCTTTATTTCAGATTATATTTTTGCTTCCTGGTTATATCATCTGAAGTATTAGTTATTCTTTTAATAATTAGATAATAGGCAGGATAATGCATCTTTCCTCTAGGGGAGATGTGCACGGAGTGGTGTCAGGCCTACATTTTTTTTTTTTTAAGAATAACGTAAGTGATTTGCCCTTGATCAAAAGCTAATAAGTTGCAGAGCCTGGGTTCAGATTCAGATCTTTTGACTTCTAATACTGTGCTCTTCTTGTAAACTACCCAGAGCCAGGCCAGGCCACGCCACTGGAGACAGGTTCTATGTGGAGTGTGCTCTGTAAACTCGTAGAAGACATTTTTCTTTCAGTCTTACAATACTCATTTGCTGATGGATCTCCATTTCCTTTATATGCATTCATTCCAGCAATGTAGCTAAGAATACCACCTTATTATTGGTATGCCGACTAGGGTTACCACCTGTTGTTTAGAGGAGTACCAATTAAATTTTAGAAGTAGGGTAATACCAATAACTAAACTAAATTGTTGGGATTTTTTAAATGACACTTTGCCTGTCTCTAACACTCTGGATTTAGTAATTTCACTTCTCACTCTTAAACTATCTTTCTCTGATCAAGAAATTGTTCTCTATTTTCTAGATATCTGTTATAAACAATAATTATTATTTTATGATTCCCAGAAGACAGGGCATTTACAGGATTATTTAGCATACTAAGAGAACCATTCCTGCCTTCAGGAAACTTGTTCTCTATAAATAACCGAGATTGGTATCTCTAGTACTCTCCCAGGATTGTGTAATTAATGCAAACTAACATTTTCAGGAGAATATGAAAAGATGCCACTGGTGAGGCAATGAGTACAATGTTCTCATATAAACTCATTATATTGTGTGTTTTCCGTAATTGTTTTAGTTTTTATAATCTTGTCAGGAGCTCTAAGCTCTGTATTTGCTTTATTTTTTTCCTTATTACATAAGTTACAATGTGAAGTAACTAAGCAAAATAATTGAGCTACAGTTATTAAAAAATATGGTTTAGGAAATATATATACACATATAGGTATGTATGTATAAGTGCATGCATAAAAATACATATATATTTTTATCTTCCTAATTAGATGACTTCCCAGAATCTACAGGAGTAAAGCGAATTGTTCAAGCCTTGAATGCCAATGTGTGGTCCAATGTAGTGATGAAGAATGGTAAGTAACTTGGGACTGAAAGTCCTAAGGAGTTTTTTCCTTCTGTTCCTTGTAAGTTTTAAATTATTCGGATATATATGGAACCATTAGGATTACGTGAAATCTGTAGATTTGTTAAATTTTAAGTCTCTTGTTAAAGAGCCAAAAATAATAGTTCTAAGAATTTTTAATATATGTTTAATAGTTAATTCAACAAGAATTTAGAGCTTTCTTATAATATGCCTAGCATTGTCATTAGCTTTGAGAAGTACCCCCAATATTGTAAAACATGAACTCTCTCCTTAAAAAGCTCATAGTTCACCTGTGGAATCAAAGTGTGCACTTTTAAAATGCTAGGTAACTATACAAGGCGGTCTGAGGTGAGTGCAGAATGACTTATACAGTAGCAAATGCCTAGAGGTCAGAGAAGTGTTCTTTGTTGTGGGATTGAGTATATAACAGAAAGTTAAGGAGAAAGCAGATCTCGGTAGTATTGATGGAATGGTCCAGATTTGAATTGGTAAAGGGGGAGAGTGACAGCCAGGGAAGGAAGTAGGGGAGGAAGTATGATATCTGTAATAATGGTTATATTTTCTAGGGTCCCTAGCAGAATCTCACCTAGCAGTTAGTAGAGAGGGGCCTGAATGCTAGACAGGAGAATCTTGACTTTTTCCTGTAGGCATTGATGAGTCATTTAGAGATTTTTTTAACAAGAGGATGATGCAAAGAAGTTGACATCTTTGAAAGGTGGTGTGCAAGTGGGCTTGGCAGTTGAAGCAAGTGGACATAGAGTCTGGAGTTGAAGAGACCAGGCAGCTGTTGCAGCAACTCATGAGTGAGGTCTTGGGGCCTGGGCTAATGTGATCGAAAGCCGGATATGAAATGCAGTCTGAAACTGGTAGGATGGTTAGTGCACATGAGCCTCTTATTATCTGTATCATATTGCTGGGGCTGCAGTAACAAAGTACCACAAACTGGATGGCTTAGAACAACAGGTACTTATTGTCTCACAGGTTTAGATGCTAGAAGTCCAAAATCAAGGTACTATGCTCCCAGTGACAGAAGAATCTGTTCCAGGTCTCTCTTCTAGCTTCTGATATAGTTCTTTGACTTGTGGCAGCATAACTCCAATCTTCACATTGCATTCTTCCTGTGTGCCTGTCTGTGTCCAGATTTCTTATTATAAGGACAATAGTCATACTGAATAAAGGGCCCACCCAATTCCAGTATGACTTCATCTTAACTAATTGCATTGGTAATGACCTATTCTGTCGTATTGGGGCTAGGGTTTCAGCAAATGAATTTGGGGGATATAATTTAACTCATTACACAGTCCTTTAGGAACTGCTGCCTAAGTAGTGTTTTTCTGTCTTGTAAAACTTTGATCCTCAACACGTATGCTTTGCTAGGTGAAACACTACAGACGGGAAGGAAAAAAATCCTCTTTTTAGTGAGTTTACCCCATCTTCCCTGAGATAAAGAGTCAAGTGGCTGATCAATTTTATAGAAGTCAAATATTTCACCCCAGTTTTTTGTTAGCACTTGAGTGTTAAGTGAGAGTAGGGCCCTTCAGATCACTTGAGGTCTGATCTAACCCATGCTGTCATTGGAAAAGCTCCTTCTGAAGACAGGTCCTCCTTCCTTCCCACTTTATTTTGTCTAGAGGAGATCTAATGTGTCTGTTGCATTGAATTACGAATGTATGAGGTACTGTTTTATTGCAGTAGCATTCAAAATAAGGGCCTGATAGATCTAGAAAAAATAAGGAGATTTTAGTCTCTGCTGTCATCTCCCTGTTACCAAAACAAACTCAAATTGAGGCTAGGTCCTTCTAATTCATTTATTCAGCAAATCCTTACTGAGCATTTATCATTAATGAAGCATTGTTGCAGACAATATCTTCACTATAAAAATATGTTTAAGGTATGGTACATAAACTGGATCAATTTGGAATAAAATTTTATTTAGTGGTGCTTATGATATTTATGAGAACTATTTTCAGAAAAGCTTATTCGATTTCAACCACTTTTTGAAACATCTGCCCCCCAAGTTCATACATTAAAGTTCATACATCTGCCCCCAAGTTCTGCCTGGCTATAAATTTGAAGCTGAACTGAACACACTATTACTTTGGAATTATGGTCAAAAGTGTCTTCTGAAAAAATGTCATTCTGCTTGTTTTAGACATTAAACATCCTTAAGAGAACTGCAAAGCAATGAGGCACACTGTGGGTTTTTCTTGGTTCTTTGCCTTGAAATACCTTTGCTTTCTTTTCTTGACAGTATTGGTACTTCATCTATTGGTTTGCCGTTAACCAAAAACCAAAATATTGCCATTAGCTTAATTCCACATTTAAGAGGATCCTGGCTTATGTGGTATGAGGGAAACTTAACTGTCTTCTCTCTAAGAGGAGCCCTAGATAGGGAAGTACAGTGACATTTGGATGCAGCCCAGGTCCTAGGAAGTGTGAAGGACATTCTTGTATAGCCCCACATCTTAGAGGAGAGACAAAGCTCTATGAATATAAGGTGGGTCATATTACTCTTCCAAAATGACCTACTTACTATGCTCTTTGCAGAGTCTGGCTTTGTTGGTGGTCTGTCTGAGGGCCTAGTGAACTTGGCCTTCCTCTCAGCAGGCTTTTCTTGAATGTTGTCTGCCAACAGGTACTCAGACTGGTGTATTTGTTTTTTTTTTTTTGTGGGGGGGGTTCATCTTCTCTACTTTTTCTCTTTCATCCCCCTTCTCTTTTTCTCTCTCTTTTTTTTTTCTTTTGAAAAATTGTGGTTAAATATACATAAAATTTATTATGTTAACCATTTTTAAGTATACAGTTCAGAGGCATTAAATACATTCACATTGTTGTACAGCTATCACCACCCAAAGCTTTTTTAAACCCAAAACTTTTTTCAGTCAAAGAGTTGTTGGTTGGCAGAGTAAAGAAAGTTATTAGAGGTATTAGAGGAAATACAAACAATTATTTAGTGAAGGAATATATTTTTACATAGATTTTAGAGAGTAGTAAGAGAGGTAGCATACCTAATTCATTCTAAGGCTAATTTAACATGATCCAAACCCGTATATAGTATCAATAAAGAAAATTATTTGAGGCCATCTCATTCGTGAACATAATATTCTTAATATATGAAAAAGCTATTTAAATTATCACATGAACAGGAAGCAAAATCATCTGATTATAGCAATCAGTGAAAAAAGCATTTAAAAACTTCAAAATCTATACGGGGGTCGGGGGGCGGTTGTTGGGAGGAGTGGGAATAAACCGAACAAATTAGAAATGGACTTCTGTGGCAGAAATTGATAATATGTCATATAGTAAATACATAATGTGAAGTAGGGAAATGTAGACAGTTTTGCCACCTCTCACTTTCAGGACACTAATGACCAGTTTGTTTTTGTTAGAAAAAATTACTATAATTACAATCGCTTTTTGGGATAATTACATTGCAAGTTATATAATCCAAGTAATTATTTGGGATTATATATTATCTATTTAGTATTATTTATCAAGCAGTAATGGAACAGTGAGGTTATGCCAGTCTTTATTGTTGTGCTGATTGAGAAAAATCTTAGTTTGAAACTCTTGAAAAAAAATTCATTTTAAATGTGCTCAGTTTGAAAACACAATTCCAGTTCTAGTAAGAACTATGAAAACTTAGATATTATGGCAAATAGGCCTGAAAAATATATAAATCTGACTCAGGTTTTATGTTTTTGCATTTTATTTTCTATTTGGTATTCAAAGGCCAAATCAAATGCTTAATCTGAAAATCTAGTTAATTAAAAACTTAGAAATGGGTAGCTTCCTTCCTACCCTCCACCAAGATAAAGTGGTTGTGTTTCCTAAATGGGAATTCATAATTTAAATGACTGGCCAGTTCTCTGCTTATTACAAGTCTGAACAACTTACCTGGTTATAGGATATTCTAATTTTTGCCTCTAGTCTCGTCCTTAAAAGTTAATAATACACAACCAAAGAAAAGATAGGTAAATTGGACTTCGTCAAAATTAAAAATTTATGTACTTTAAAGGACGCTCAGGAAGAGATAACCCTCAGAATGGGAGAAAGTATTTGTAAACCATATATCTGATAAGGATCTAGCATCTAGAATGTATAAAGAATTCTTATAACTCCATGATAAAAAGACAACCCAATTTAAAAATGGTAAAGGAGTTAATAGACATTTTTTCAGATAGATACACAAATGGCCAGTAAACACGTGATTCTTAACATCATTAGCCACTGGAGAAATCACAACCACAACAAGATACCACCTCATACCTACTAACTTGCAGATACAGAGAACATTTTTATGGTTGCCAGATGAGATGTGGATAAATGAAAAAGGGGAAGGGATTAATAAGTACAAATTGGTAGTTACAAAATAGTCATGGGGAATATAATAGTCACAAAATACAAAATAGTCACGCATAGGGAATATAATCAGTAATATTGTAATAAATAAGTACAGTGCCAGGTGGGTACTCGTTACTTTGGGGACCCCTTTGTAAATTATATAAATGTCTAAGTACTATGGTCTACACCTGAAGCTAATATAAAATAATATTGAATGTCAACTCTAATTGAAAAATAAAAATAAATTAAAGGTCAAATTAGGCTTATATTTTGAGGTAGAGCCAGCATGATTTCCTGATACTTTGGATGTAAGGTATGAGAAAAAGAGAGCAGTCAAGGAGGACTCCAGGATTTGGGCCTGTGAGTTTTGGAGGATAGGTTGCCATCAAATGCAGTGCGGGAACTACAGATGAAGCAGACTTTGAGGAGCAGGGTGATATATCAGTAATTCAATTTTGGACATGTTAACTTTAAGATGGCTACTAGACTTCCAAGTAGAGATGTCAAGTAGCCATTTGGATAGATGTGTGGAGTTTGACATATAATGGCATTTAAAATCTTGAGCCTGGATGAGATCAGCAAAGGAGTAAGTGTAGTAAAGAGGACCAAGAACGGACTCAGCCCAGGGACATTCTAACATCAAGA